TTGTGTTAAGACAGGAAGGCAATTGGATCCCTACTGACAGGAGTGATAATGATAGTAAGGACAGGATATAACGCAGTTTAGTGCAAAAGAAAGCAGCATGTTGTAGGCTGTAAAATCTGGAACTGAAGTAAATAATGGTTAACGCAATCCCCATTGTCAAACTGGTTCACACAACATTATATATGCAGAATACATTGTATCTACATTTTAATTGTTCAATAAATTGTTTCTTTATAAAAACAAGTGTGTGTCCCCATACATGTATTTTGGTCATCGGAGCACTACAGTTTTAGCAGGTTCTAAGTCTCCTCCAATCACTGCATTTTTTTGAATTGCATTTATCACATACATTTTTCATTATATATATTCGCAATGCTCTCACAGATTGTTATAATACACTTATACAGTTTATTTAACACTATTTGATTTGCCTCCCACATTGGAATTAGTGTAGGAACCACCAATTTTGGGGTACTGTGAAGCAGTGGTGGGCTTAACTCTATATGGCCATATGGTGGAACTGAATCCCCTTATTTGTTTGCAGAGATAAGTGATTTTAAATAGACTAATAGAAATTTGTATTAAGTATACATTGTGGTCACCAGCACCATTCATGCAAGATGCATATTATGGGTGTGCCCTCAATTTCCCTTCCCTCCCCCCCTCTCTTTTATATAGTGTAGTATATTAGCAGTTTGATCACCAGAAAAGTAAATAAATAGATGCATTCACACATACTATAGAGCCCCGGTATAGCTCCTCATAATTAGTGTAGATTGGTAGAATCCTCACTCTGATATATATGGGTAGCCGGTATCCTCTCTGTGGAAATATAAAACTATATTAAAATTCCTGAATTGTCACAAGCACACACCTAATGTGTCTTTCAAACTTCAAAGGATGAATTTGCATTGCTCTCCCCATGTCTGTGTGCTTCCAAATACCTCCCTCCCACTATTATATTGCCTGAATAACAAATAGTGAATAGAGTGAACACAGGACATTTGACACAAACCGTAATGCTGTTGGGAGTAGGAGGCACAATGTACTATTCTTACCTCCCACCATTCTGAGATGGCCTCAGTGGCTATAGTATTCTTCAGCCCAACTATAAATAAAAGAAAAAGGTACTTGTGTCCTATCCAAGATCCCTATACACATTTAAATAACAGGTTTTTGGTACCACTGCAATGGCCATTAAAGGGTAAGCTGGCCTGCTAATCAAGGTGATATAATTTGAACATTTTTCTCAGTAGGCGGCGTTTCAGATAAAAGTGTGAGTTCAGATTTCTTCTGACAAATATGTTCTTCCTTTTTGTTCAATGAATAATAAAAAACCTTTAAATTGTGAGTGCGTATTTATTTGGTGACTTGATTCTGGGTGCTTTATAGAATAAGCATGGACAAAAAAAAACAAAAAACAAGTCGGTCAATGTATGAAGGGCTTAGTAACAGTTTCATAAGAAAATGGAGATTGTGCACAAAACTGATGAAAATGTTTAAGCAAATGCCTAATTTTTTCCAAGGTTTGCGAGCTATGATATCCGAAGTTAGTTCCAGGTGCTTGACGACCAGGTACTGCTGCCTGTATTCGGGAGACCAAATGGCCGCCATTCCACAGCCAAACAGACTCCTCAAGCTCTGGCCCTTATATGAAAATAGGTGACATAGAGCATAAATATCACTTTGTGTGTTTCTGCTCTAAGTAGCCTCATGGCCTTCCCACGCCATATAGTTTGTTTGTAGTACTATAGTTTCACATTATGCCTTTTAACTTTAAGTTACTATAGCCCCATTTATGCTTTATCTAAAGTCATAATAGCCTAGCATGTTTCATATTCTTTACAACTATTGATCATCCGTATATCTAACTAGCACTGTAAATTTTTGAGCTACATTTGAGACCTAGCTTAGACATAATTGTTTCATTGACCAAGTTTAACATATGGGACTGGCTTAAAGGACCACTATAGTGCCAGGAAAACATACTCGTTTTCCTGGCACTATAGTGCCCTGAGGGTGCCCCCACCCTCAGGGACCCTCTCCCGCCGGGCTCTGGGGAGAGGAAGGGGTTAAACTTACCTCTTTCTCCAGCGCCGGGCGCTCTCTTCCTCCTCTTCGGCTGAATGCGCATGCGCAGCAGGAGCCGCGCGCGCATTCAGCCAGTCCATAGGAAAGCATTCACAATGCTTTCCTATGGACGCTGGCGTCTTCTCACTGTGATTTTCACAGTGAGAAGCACGCAAGCGCCTCTAGCGGCTGTCAAGAGACAGCCACTAGAAGCTGGATTAACCCTAACATAAGCATAGCAGTTTCTCTGAAACTGCTATTTTTATTTAAAAAAAGGGTTAACCCTAGCTGGACCTGGCACCCAGACCACTTAATTAAGCTGAAGTGATCTGGGTGCCTACAGTGGTCCTTTAATAAGAGTGTTTATTTCATTATAAAAAATGTGCAGTGACACCAATTGCCATACAATTGTTTTACTATGGTGATAGACAGGCTTGCAATGCCACAACAGCTAGAGCGAGCAATTCAATCACCTATGCACAACTAAAATAAAGCATTTAATTTTTTTTTTTTAAATGTTAAATGTCCACTATTCCATAAAGCACATGTGTTTGGTAATAGGAATGGTGGTCACCCAGAGAGAGCATGAGTTAATTGGTTCTTTTGAAGTTAATGAGTCATGGGGTGGATGGTGTTCAGTATAAAAAGGAGCTGAAGTGTGGGAACATCAAAGGGAGATATGGGCAACTGAATGAGATAGGACAGGGTCTGCCAAAGTAAGAATTGATGGAAATTAGCTAGCGTATGCAAAAACTCCCTTTACAATATTTTTAAAGCTTACAAATTAAGTCATTAGATTGTGGCAGTATGTTATGTTTTGACGCAGTTTGAAGAAGAAGTGTACGTTTGTGAAATGCCTGTGTGTGAATGTAGGGTGTGTTTTTTTTTTTGTTTTGTTTTTTGAGTGTGAGTGAATGTTTGTGTATATAGCACCATGCTAAATAACATTACTGGAAACGTAGTGAGAAGAATGCTTTAGATTAGGGTTATTTACTAAACTGTTAATTGTTGAGAACTCAAACAGGGTTATTCAACATGAATTTACTCAGAACTCAAAAATCTAGAATTACTTGGAATTCTAACTCTGCTATTTTGGCTTTAATTTTGAAATTAACTTTAAATTTCCAGTAAATATTACTTTAGTGAAGAAAGTTTTACATTTTTTTTGGGGGGGGAGGTAAAATGTCACACCGAAAACAGATTTGGAAGTCATTTCTTTTAGCTAAAAATTTGAAATCCTCAACAATTTGAACTTCAGTGAATAACCCTGGATAAGATTTAAAGAGGCAGATAAGTGCTATCCAGTAGGTGGAATTTAAATTCAGCAGGAGTTAAAAAAAAAAAAGTCCGTAACCAATCCTGCAGCATATGAATGCTCCATAATGCTGAATGCAGCACTCTTCTTGTGCCGACAGTCAATATGTATAAATTCTGTGTCAGGAGATAAATGGTATATTTGTTAATCCTGAAAACCGTATGGCTGCGAGGTTCACACTGCAAAGTCTGGATAAGTTGGTGTTCGGGAGGTCTCCATCACTAGCTTACTAAGTTTTTATTTCTATAAAATTAAGAACAAAGAAGGCAACAGCATACGGAAAATGGCGGTGGAGGGCAGTTATATCTGGCAAAACCTATAAACACATCTGAGATTAGGGATAGGCAGAGAGAGAGTGTGTTAGTGGATGCCACCGGAGGAGAATCAGCTGGGTTTGCCAGAGCCACAATGTTTTTCTGAACATGAATTGCTTATAAATGTGGATGGGTTATAAATAAAAAGTTGTGCCCTGGCGTATGAAGCATTTATGTGCTGCTGGCAGTAAATTAACTAATTAAAGACGCTTCTAGACATGTGCTCAGTTTTTATAGGAATCGACCCATCAAGGATTTACACATAGACTCTTATTCATTTAATTAATCTACCCTTTTTTTTATTATACTTTATTTAAAAAATATTTTTCTATACCAATTCTATATACTACAGCACAAAATGATAAATCCCTTAATGAGGTCCCTCCATCCGATCAATACTGTCTCACAGGAGCACTATTTAAAGGATCACTATAGTGTCAGGAAAACAAATCGGTTTTCCTGACACTATAGTACCCTGAAGGTGCCCCTACCCTCAGGGTCCACCTCCCGTGGTGCTGAAGGGGTTAAAACCCCTTCAGTTACTCACCTTATTCCACTGTCAGGCTCCCTTACCTCTCCTCCCCCCCCGACGTCAGCTCCCCTGTCTGAAGTCAACGGAGCGGAATGCGCATTTGCGGCAGTGCCGCGCGCGCATTCAAAGTGTCCATAGGAAAGCATTTCTCAATGCTTTCCTATGGACGCTCTGCGTGATGGAGGCATAATATGCCTCCAGCATCGCAGATGCGTCTCTAGTGGCTGTCCGGAAGCCACTAGAGGCTGGCTTAACCCCAAATGTAAACATAGCAGTTTCTCTGAAACTGCTATGTTTACAGCAGGCAGGGTTAACCCTAGAGTGACCTGGCACCCAGACCACTTCATTAAGCTGAAGTGGTCTGGATGACTATAGTGTCCCTTTAAGAAGAAACCCTCTACACACCCATACAGCATATTGTTTGTGCTATTTATCTGATCAAGTTGTTGGATTAACAGATATAATTGTAATATAAATCAAGAATTTACTGCAAAAATCAGATTGTAGTTTTATTGGTTCCCAGCACTCTTAAATGAATTCTGTACCTGGTTAATATTTGTTGAAAGGTGTGATTTCAGATGGACATCCAGAATGCTGTCTCTTGAAGTGGAAGTCGTTAATACAGACTGTAAGATTTCTAAAGACAACAGCTGTCTCTGCAGGTTTTACTTCCCCTAAGAGTTTGCTAGTGCATTAACATGTTAAAGGGACATTATAGTCACCTGAACAACTTTAGCTTAATGAAGCAGTTTTGGTGTATAGAACATGCCCCTGCAGCCCAATCCTCTGCCATTTAGGAGTTAAATCCCTTTGTTTATGAACCCTAGTCACACCTCCCTGCATGTGACTTGCACAGCCTTCCATAAACACTTCCTGTAAAGAGAGCCCTATTTAGACTTTCTTTATTGCAAGTTCTGTTTAATTAAGATTTTCTTATCCCCTGCTATGTTAATAGCTTGCTAGACCCTGCAAGAGCCTCCTGTATGTGATTAAAGTTCAATTTAGAGATACAATTATTTAAAGGACCACTATAGTGCCAGGAAAACATACTCGTTTTCCTGGCACTATAGTGCCCTGAGGGTGCCTCCACCCTCAGGGACCCCCTCCCGCTGGGCTGGATGGCGAGGAAAGGGTTAAATCTTACCTTTTCTCCAGCGCCGGGCGGGGAGCTTTCCTCCTCCTCTCCTCCTCTTCGGCTGAATTCAGCCAGTCTCATAGGAAAGCATTCATAATGCTTTCCTATGGACGCTTGCGTCTTCTCACTGTGATTTTCACAGTGAGAAGCACGCAAACGCCTCTAGCGGCTGTCAATGAGACAGCCACTAGAGGCTTTAGAGGCTGGATTAACCCATTTATAAACATAGCAGATTCTCTGAAACTGCTATGTTTATAAAAATAAGAAGGGTTAATCCTAGAGGGACCTGGCACCAGACCACTTCATTAAGCTGAAGTGGTCTGGGTGCCTAGAGTGGTCCTTTAAGGTAAATTACATCTGTTTGAAAGTGAAACCGTTTTTTTTTCAATCATGTCAATCATAGCCAGGGGAGGTGTGGCTAGGGCTGCATAAACAGAAACAAAGTGATTTAACTCCTAAATGACAGTGAATTGAGCAGTGAAATTGCAGGGGAATGATCTATACACTAAAACTGCTTTATTTAGCTAAAGTAATTTAGGTGACTATAGTGTTCCTTTAATTATTTCTCCCTTGTTCTAACAAGGTGAGAATTGATTATCAGATAAATGAAAGAGATTCATGGGATTGTGTCCCACGGTAGCCCTTCAAGTTACCTGCCGTAATATAGCAAGACTGCAATGAAAGGACAAATTGTTAATTACAGTAAACTAGAAAAATATGAGTTAATCCATCAAATATTGTTACATACTTTTTTTCCTAGCTGAGGAAGCCAAAGATTTATTGGCGAAACGCATCCTGGGGACAGTGAGCATAATATTCTTGTTTGCCGGGATAAGTGTTTAATAGCTTATTTTTTTACATGTTTAATTTTTAATCAGTGTAATAAAATTGTTTTATTTTACACTTACAGCACTTTTTTTCTTCTTTTCAAAAGAAGGAATGTGGTCCTTAACTACATTTGCCATTTGACTTGAGCCTAAATTTTGGCTTTGGGTTTGTTAGTATTCATTCTTTAATACTCTCGAATAGAACATTGAATGAAATACAATATTGCACAATACCTGTCTTTTTTGAAATAACTACACAGGACAGAACAAAGAAAACCATTTTGAAGAAGGGGAGGGTCGCCTAAACGGACCGTAAGGCTAAAATTTCTTGAGCCAAGTCTATAGCTCAGAAATATGTGAGTGTTTCATTGACACAACATGTTATAGTACTTTTGTATATGGTTTTGCACTATTACATGTATTATTTTTCTTAAAGGTACATTATCCTGATACAAAGATCACAGAATAGTGAACCTTTTAATGTATATTTATTGTTGTTGGTTGCACATCTTCTATCTTTTTTTAGTTTCCACTTTAATATTAACGCTACACCGTTTGATGTATTGGACTTATACAAGTTTATTTAAACTAATGACATAAACACTCATTTGTTAAAAGTGTAACAAGTTACCAATCTCGTTAAGAGAGGTTACTTTTTTAAATCTCACGATGATTAAAACCAAGGGTGAAACGCGCGTTGAGTGCTGATTGCTAGGAGTGCTATATGAGACTCTACTAAACATTCTTTCCTAGTTTACCAATACGTTCCACAATTTAACTGTGTACTTATTAGGCTGGCAAATATGCAGAGAGATACGTTTGAAAGACAGATTTTAGGGAACAGCTTACCTTTATCCAGTGCCAGGCTGCTTTGGCGCTGGTGACCTCTCCTCCCCCGCCGATGTCAGCTCCCGAGTGGAGCAGAATGCGCATGCGCGATAAGTGCTGCGTGCGCATTCAAACTGTCTATAGGAAAGCATTTCTCAATGCTTTCCTATGGACGCTTTGCACTCTGGATGCGAATTTCACATCAAGCGTCGCAGAAGCGCATCAGGAAGACAGCCACTAGAGGCTGGATTAACCCTGCTATGTAAACATAGCAGTTTCGGTGAAACTGCTATGTTTACATGTGAAGGGTTAAAACTGAGGGACATTGCACCCAGACCACTTAACTGAAACTATAGTGTCCCTTTAACTTCCCTTTGTAACTCTCTCCCTGTGTACAGATCTGGATATCTTGTTTTTACTATTCCAATTTATATATACTCAATACACCTTAAATTGACAATTATTTTTCTTGTGTTTTGTTCTAAATGTATCCAGACTTCAATTGCATTACAATGAGGGTATAGAGAAAATTTCCATTAATAGGAATGACCAATTCACAACTTCAGTGACTTAATAGTCAGACTACAGATTTATTGTAAAAAATGAACTGAACAATACTATTGAACTGTGACTGAATGCAACACAACAATAATCTTGTGTGGTTATTTTTTTTTTTTTAATAAAGAGTATCATTCAATCTTATTTAAATTTCTTTTTTACATTCTTTATTTTTTGATGTGCAAATATGCATACATAGAATGACAGTGACAATTGGTATAAAACAAGACACAATTTGATTGCCGGGTATAGAAGTGTAGGTAGCCGACAGCTCTTCTCCGATTGCAGGTGTGTCACGATCATGGCAGTGCAATGCATCAGCATGGCCCAGGAAGATGATCAGGGGTCAGCTCACTCCTTCCCCAATAAAGCCACAGGCGAAACAGTGTAGACCGCCTCAGAAGTGGTTGGCAGCCATCTTAACCCTGGAGCGCGGGAATCCCAAAACAGGTAAGCTCTAGAGATTCAGCATTGGATTCCTCCAGTGGGGACCAAGACGACCCCCCCAGCCCACATGGGGGCGGGGGGGGGGAATACGGGACCAGCGGTTGCGACACGGAGCCGGTATGTGATAGCTGGGGAAGAAAGCAGGGCGGCGGCCATCCACCCCCAAATAGGCTGCAGGTTCCGAAGTCCTATATCACCTCCATGGGCTGCAAGACTCCCGATCTCAGAGCCTGCAGCATCAGCCACAGCTGCCTCATATTTTCCGGCTGAGACTAGCTATTTGAGCCGCAGATGTCAGCCTGAGAAGCCCAATCTCTCAGGAGCCTCTCTGCCACGTGGCTGGTCAGCATGGCGGTCTGGCCCATCCCCAACTTTTAACAAATAAGTATTTTTATGTCATTAGTTTTATTAAAGCGGTACTGTCATGCTGAACTTACCTTTCTTTAATCGGTTCCTCTTCTCTTCCTCTGAAGATCTGTTCTTTTCCTTTTATCTGATCTAGTTTCCTTTAAAACAAACATAAGACTAAGTACCTAATTTGTGTTTTGTATTTTTAATACGCTTGCCCTTCGAGCCTAAATCCAATCCATTTCCTGTTGTCAAATAACTTTTCCTTCTGTGTTCTCGCGTTGTGTAATTCGCCGTTTGAACGTCCTCTAATTAAGACCGGGCTCTGGCGAAATTACTGAATTTCGCCCTCACTGAATGAGTACAGTTTGTCCATTTGTATAAGGAAGACATTTTCCTGGTGTCCCGAGATGTGATACAACAGAGAACAATGTAGGACAGAAGTCTAAATTCAAGACAGTTAGGAAGAATGCCAGCCCTCTATATTTAAAGAAATAAACATTATCAAAAATTTACATAAAATTCAGTCAGCCCTGTGGGTCTCCTGGTAGGTTCAATGGACATTTTTTTTTTACTAAAAAAGACAGATTTAAGGCAGTGCTGCCAATCAACCTGATTCCTTATCCAATCATGGTCTAGCTACATATTTTACCCCACCCATCCCAAATCTCAAGGGAATATACCCAAAGTATTCTTGTTAGTTAGTCGCATTCCCGCACCTGTCCACAGGTATTCAGGTTTTGGTTCACTGCTGCCCAATGTTTCTGAACAAGGTAAGATACCGCTTGCATTTTTGTAAATTCCTTAAATCATTACAAGATTTAGGCCAAAACACAAATGATATCCAAGTTAATGTAGCACACTATTGTGAGTTTTATATCTCTGGAGCTCTGTCATTATATACACTGTACAGTGCTGTGAAGTGGAATGCAGTGAATTATTTTTATGGGCGCACAGGATGTGAATGACAGAGGGATCCGAGTCTTAGATGGCCACGGGGGGGAAAAAAATCCAGGTATTCTCTCTCTCATTCTTCAGCACTAAAGAACATCTGAGACGAACCAGGATATGTGGAGAACCAAACAAATTTGCCTAAAAGTGCAACCCTAATACTGTATAAATTGTTAAATAGTAGCCATTTATTCCCATACCCAAAAGAGTCTGACAAAACATAGAGAGAGAAGAATGGTTTAACCCATAAACAGGCATGTAACCTGACCCAATTATCACCAAATATCTGTTCCTAATCTAACCATTCTTTCTCCCCATTCTGCATCATCAACTGATGTTTAGGAGAACCAGGCACTACCGAGAAAGAAAAAAGGGACCCCCCAAAAAATAAAAAGCAGTCCTTAAAGGCTGAACAGTAATTGCCCTCCAGTGGTTACAGCAGAAAAACGCGAAGGTTCTGGAGAGACCATCACAGTCTCCTGGCCTTAATATCATCGAGCCACTCTGGGCAGATCTCAAACGTGCAGTTCATGCAAGACGACCAAATACTTTCCATCACCTGGAGGCATTTTGCCAAGACGAATGGACAGCTTTACCACTTGCAAGAATTAGGGGCCTCATCGACAACTATTACAAAAGACAGCATACGGTAATTTATGCTAAAGGGGGCAATACACTGTATTAAGCCTTTTGAACAAGGGTCATTTCATTTTATTTTTCTTTGCTTTGTTTTATGATTGTGCCATTCTGTTATAACATACAATATGAATCCCATAACTATAAAATAAACATGAGTGAGCAGGCAAAACATTTTTTCTGCAAACTTTTGTATGAAACCTGACCCAATTCTATACCTTAGACAGCCTGTACCTTCTATATGAAGAGTAAAATCCATGAGAAA